TAATTTGTATTTATACATCTATCTGTATGATTATTGTATGTCCGAAAGTCTCTTAGACTGTGACTATGACCTTCAAGAAGAAATGCCTTGTATTATATATCACAACTCAGCACATGTAGATACATTTTAAGTAAAGACCAATGTTTCCAGTGCAAATACTCATTCTTGCTATGCCCAATGCACTCTGATATTCTCTATTCCATTTCATGCTAAAAACTGTGTTAGAACATACGCAACAGCCAGGCATGGTGGTGTGCGCCTGTAGTTTCAGCTGCTTGGGAGGCTGAGGAGGGAGGATCGTTTGAGCCAGGAGTTGGAGGTTGTAGTGTGCTCTGATTGCATTTGTGAATAGTCACTGCACTCTACCCTGGGTGACATAGGGAACTGTAAAATACCTCTCTAATGTGTGTGTGTGCGTGTGTGTGTGTGCACACATGACAAGTTACCATTGTAACCACTTTTAAGTGCACAATTATAAAGCATGAGCATATTCACATTGTTCTGCTACCTGACACCACCATTCATCTGCAGAACTTTTTCATCATTCCAAACTGAAACTCCACCCCCATTAAGCACTTGCCTCCCATTCCTCCCTCCCCATAGTCCCTGGGCAGCCACCATTCCACTTTCTGTCTCTGTGACTTTGGCAACCCTAGGCACTTCATGTAAGTGGAGTCATAGACTATTTGTGCTTTTGGGGACTGGCTTATTTCACACCACATAGTGTCTTGCAAGGGTCATCCATGTAGTAGCATGTGTCAGAATCCCCTTCCCTTTTAGGATGAAATAAGGTTCCACCTGTATGGACGGACCATTTTGTTTAAGCATTCATCCATCAGTAGATACTCAGGTTGCTCTCACCTTTTGGCTATTGTGAATAATGCTGCTATGAACGTGGGTATACAAATATCTGTCCAAGTCCCTGCTTTCAACTCTTTTAAGTACCTAGAAGTGGAATTTTCTATTGCTTTCTTTTTTGTTTTTTCCTTTTTTGTTCTTTGAGACAGCATCTCCCTCTGTTATCTAGGTTAGAGTGTAGTGGTACGATCTCTACCTCCTGGGTGCAAGCAACTCTTGTGCCTCAGCCTCCTCAGTAGCTGGGACTACAAGTGTCCACCACCACTGCCTGGCTGATTTTTGTATTTTTAGTAGAGACGGGGTTTCACCATGTTGGCCAGGCTGGTCTTGAACTCCTGACCTCAGGTGATCCACCCACCTTGGCTTCCCAAAAGTGCTGGAATCACAGGCATGAGCCTCTATTTCATTTTAAAACGTGCCAATTATGACTCTTTAATTGACCTCACAGTCCCCTTCGGTTTGGAAAGCACTGTGCTCTACGAGATACATCCCCACCCCCAGGCATAGGCTTGCACTGTGTAACTGTTTTGGGAAGAGTGTCAGATTAAACAATAGATGCACAAGGCTGCACATTTCTGGGTGATTTTTAAAAATGGCTTCTCTATGAATAAAGGCTACAGAGCTTTCACTTTCCTTTCTCTTTTTCACACGCTGTATAAATACTGCTATTAATTCCACTGAACACTGTGGTTATATCGTCCTAGAGAGTGCACATCATTTATTACAATGACAACATTTTTGGGGCCAGGCTATAAATTATCTCACAATGGCATGGAATATCAGTCTGTTAAAATGTTTAGGCAAAAACATCACACATTATAAATTAAGTTTTCAGAGATTTTTCTTGAACTTTCTCCATAGATCTTTTTTAATGCTGTGTAGATTATACCTAATTGACTTAACATGAGTATCATTGTAATTATTCTAAATTTAGCTTTTTTTTTAGAGTAAGATTTTACCCTTGTGGGAAAAACATAGCTGTGTAATACTCTAGGTTAAGAGAGTAATAGTGATCTTTATCATCTCAAAAGAAAGTGGAATGAGTTCTTAATTGTCTTATTTGTAACTTTACTCTAGTGGAAATAATATCTCTTAAGAAAATCTCCAGCTCAATTTTGCAGCTGAACTTTTAAACAGATGTCTCTTTTACCATGTCTCAATTGTGGTCACCAAATACCATAACATTAAACATCAGGAATGCTAACATTTTCTTTTTCTTTTTGAGATGAGGTCTCACTCTGTTGCCCAGGCTGGAGACGGGCTTTGCCCAGGCTGCACTGTAGGAGTGTGGTGGTGCAATCATAGCTCACTGCCACCTCAACCTCCCGGGCTCAAGTGATCCTCTCACCTCAGCCTCCCAAATAACTAGGACTAGACGCACACACCCCTATACCTGGCTTTAAGAAAACCATCTTCTAATCATTCATGATAATTACTTCAAGTTCAGAAATGCTACACCTCGGCTTTTTGTGGCAATTATCCAACGTATCATAAAGTATAAAACTGCAAAGTGGAGTAGAGAGAGCGTGAAGACTGGAATAGACAGAGGGAAGATGTGAAATGAGGAGGATGAAAGGTGTACCTGGGTGTTAAGCCTCACCCTCTGAAAGCCTCTTCTCCACAGCACCTGCCTCTTGCCTTAGAGAGGCAGAGAACCCACCTGTGCCTGAGGGGGCAAGGGGATCCTTTATCTGGCCTTCTGCCAACTATCGTTGCCCCCTTTGCCCCCAATTTCCTTTCCCTGCCAAAGTTTTTTCTTTTCTTTTCTTTTTTTTTGTGACAGGTCTTATTCTGTCATCTAGGCTGGAGTGCAGTGGCATGATGTTGGCTCACTGCAACTGCCACCTGCTGGGCACAGGTGATTCTCCCACTTCAGCTTCCCAAACAGCTGGGACCATAGGTGTGCACCACCATGTCTAGCTAATTTTTTTTTTTTTTTTTTTTTGTATTTATTTTGTAGAGACAGGGTTTCCCATGTTGCCCAGGCTGGTCTTGAACTCCTGGACTCAACTGATCCAACCACTTTGGCCTCCCAAAATACTGGAATTACAGGCATGAGCCACCACGATTGGCTTTCCTGCCAAAGTGTTCTAAAATGCATGTACATGTCTTTTCCCTTTGATATCCAGCGACCTATTTTCTCACCAGGGTGCTCCATGTCACCTGGGAGCCCTCTGCCACCAGACAGAAGGGCCTTACCCCAGCCTCAACCTTCTTGAGCCTTCCTGCGGAGAACCCTGTGAAAATTCCCACTGGAAGCTTTCTGTGGGAGACAATGTCCTCTGCTGCTTCTCCTGCCTCTCAGACCATTCCTTCCCTCTCCTTTGTGGAGGCTGTGCCCCAGCCCCTTTCCAATTTTCCATTCTCTTCTTTAGAGACATCATTTACAACCCCTTTGCTGACAACTCCCAAATCTCAATTCTTTCTCTCCAGTTGCTACAGGGCACTTCTAATTGGAGGTTTCGCTGTCCTCGCTTGACCTTCCTGTCTTTCCAGCTGTATGGTCCTATAGCAACTTCCCTCTGGCGGGACCTTGGAGCCTCATTTCTGGAGCACTGCAGACATCCTGGGCTGTTCCAGCAACAGGCCACTCCCTAAGACAGCTCTCATCAGTGGCCTGCCTGTGTGAACCCTCCACGCGTCCCACCGGGTCTGGTTCAGGCTCCTCTGCAGCTCTTGGGGTCCCTCTCACCTGGCCCCTTGCCCTCAGGCCAGTCTTATTTCCAGCTTATCTGCACAATGTCTGCAGGCACTGTTCCTTCTTTCCTCACTAGCACTCTCCTGCCAGCTGTCCTTCATCCACCCAGTCACAGTCAAACCCGCGGCACCTGTGGCCCTTCGGCCTCCACCCACAATGCAAATTCTCCATTAATAATCCTGCTAGGACAGGGATAAGGTCTTAAACTTCCCCCTCTGCCCACAGCATGTAGCACTAGTCCTTACTAACCCACGTGCTAACTGTGCCACACACAGAGTGACAGAGCCTGTCCCTGACCTGCCATCTACCGATGTCCAAACTGGGCTTCGGAAGGACAAGCCTGTGACCCCAGCGAGGCCTAGGAGTTTCCCTAACTCTAACGTATTATTCACTTCTTATTTCACCTACTGTGTTCAACCTGCACAAGATAGTACCTACAATTTCAGAATTTTGCATGGAACTGTATAATGACTATTATGCAGCAGGAAGTGTTAACGTTCTGCAGTGTCTTTGGGACCAAGCCCACTCTTGGGAAAGATCATCCATTTTATATATTCTAATTTCTTGCTTCCCCACTTGTTATTTGGAGCATCTTTACCTACTTCAAGCCATGGGTATAAAATGCAAACCATTAACTGTATTTATATGCGTACAGGCTGGCAAAGTTACAAACTCATGGATCTGTGTGTTTCTCCTACTGCGCTGTCTTTCCCCTAACTCTTGGTCTCTTTCTGATGTAGAATAAATTGATTTCCTTAGTCCTGTAGCGAGTTAACAAGCCTGTAATGTGACAGATCTGTATCCCAGGGGCCGAGCGTAGGGAAACCACAGAGCGATGTTTCAGCTGCGTCCTGTCCTCAGCGCGGCGGACTTCCAGCCTGGTGCGAGGATGGCCTCTCTGCCCCAGTGTGAGAGAAGGTTCGAAGGTTCGAGCGGACTTGCCGGTCCTGTGCTGCTTCTCAGTGAGGGCCTTGCTGCCGCGGAAGAACATGCAGACCCAGGGGCGCGCCGGTCGGATGTGGCCCGCAGGGAGCCGCGGCGTGGAAACGGCCGAAACGCGCGGGCGCGTTGTCCATGTTTGGTGGTGGCGCTGCCCGCGGACGCGGGAACAGCGCGTCGGGGGCGGGTGGGCCTGGGCGTCCGCGGCGGAGGTCAGCCCGGCCCCCCCAGGCCCGCTCTCTCCCAGCGCCGCTTTGTCCCCGCGCCCCCTCAAGGGCCTCCCGCAGCCTCTGGGCCCCCGAGCGCGGAGGCGGGGCCTGGCCGAGGGCACGGCGGGCGGCAGAGGCGTCCCGTAGCACGCAGGCTGCCCGGGCCGCACTCCCCGCGGGGGAAGAGGCCGCGGGCGCCGCGAGGCTCGGCCCCGCCCCGCCACGTCCCCCTCCCGGCCCAGGCCCCGCGGCCGCCGAGGCCGCCCCCTCGCGGGCGGAGCGGGCGCTGGGCTCGCGCGGCGGCGGCGGGCCCGGGGTTGCCATGGTAACCGGCAGCAGCAGCCGCCACAGCAGGGCCGGCCCCAGCGCCAGCGCCGGTCGCGGTCGGGCTCGGCTCAGTGTGTGGTGAGCGGCGGCGGCGCGGCCCGGCCGGGGAGCGGGCGCGGCCCGGCGGCCTCAGCATGGAGGACGGCTTCTCCAGCTACAGCAGCCTGTACGACACGTCCTCGCTGCTCCAGTTCTGCAACGGTGAGGGGCGGCCGCGCGGGGCCGGGGCAGCGGGCGGCTGGCGGCGGCGACGGCGACGGCGACGGCGGGGACCGAGCCGAGGGGCCGAGGCCCGGCGGCCGCGGGCGAGGCCGCGCAAAGTTGCTGCGGAGGGGCGCGCGGTCCCGGTTCCCGCCGCCGGCGCATTGTGCTGGGGCCGCGGGGCCGCGCCTCGCCCCGGGCCGCCCCGGGGTCCCCGCCGCCGCCCAGGCTCCCGGCACCGGCGCACGGATCCCGCCGGCTCCAGCACCCGCGGAGCGCGCCCGGGCAGGAGGCGCGTGGGGCACAGGGCGGCGGGGAGGCCCGGGCAGCCTCCGCGTTCCGGAGAACGTGTTGCTTTTTTGCTTCCCAAAGTCACATCTGTTTGGAAATGATTGGATGAAGAACTCGGGAAACAAATCCATTAGTAACAAAACCCTCCTGCGAGGATGCACGCAGGGTTTGCTGTAGATGGACCCCCAGAACCCATTCAGGTCTACTTTAATGAAATCATCACAGTTTAATACAATCTAGAGCTTTTTAAATGGAAAGCCACAGTGGACCTGGCCTCAGTGTTGCTTCTTATTTTGTTTATGGGATAATTGATTCTTTTTTCTTTTCTTTTTGTTTGTGCGATTTTACAGGAAGGAAACATTCATATCCACCAATATGGCATCTTTTTAAGAATATGAAATCCTACATGCTTGAAAGATTCAGTCTCATTGACAGGGTTGAAAAAGATTTTCACAGCACACTGAATATTTTATCAGAACATGATGTATGATAATTCATGCACAAAAGTTAACCACACTTTTTTTTTTAACATGTTGGATTTATTGCCTCATCAAAGGGCCCCAAAAGCTTGTTAATGGGGGGAAAATGTGTATTTGATAGAATTTGCTGAAGTGCAGTTCGGAATAATTTTGAACGCTAGACCCTTTGATAACCGGAGCAATTGATTTTGCTATTGTTTTGTGATTTAGGGAAACTTTTCTTGTTATTCGACACCTGTTTGTCACTGTAGCAGTAAAGAGTAGTGAGTGTGTTGGTTCCTCCTCTGCAGTGGTGTTTTTATCTCTGGTGAAGTGTATCATCTTGTTCATGGTAGAATGTATACTCTGGTAGCTTCTGTAGCTTATACTTCACATCTGAACCATTTGTGGGCCTTGATGAACTTAGTCATTCCCTTTTCAGTGGAATTAAAGTTTCCACTCTCTGAATTTAACGCGTTTCCAAGAGCAGAACACCTGTGTTTTTGAGCCTCAGAAAGTGTTGAGGGCAGGTAGAATGTATTTGGTACGCTGCTGGGTCCCTGGAATACTTCATAGTATAGAGTCATGGGAACGGTTTTGCTCTCCAGTAGGTTAAATAGATCCCTTAATTAACATTTTGAATAGTTTCCTTAATTGACTTATAATCAATCATATTCAAATTACTATTTTTGATCTAAAAAGTAGGTACAGCCTCCCATATGCTTATGGTAGAATTCTCCCTATGCTGGTTGGAAAGATATGTGGCTGAAATTTGTATTAAACGACTTTGAGGCATCAGGTCTTATGAATCTAATCCGAGGGCATGCTATTGACAGCTTGATTTGAGATAGGAAAATGAGCTTAGATATTTTTATTGGAGCAGTTGGTTGGGGGCCTGGTCATACTGTTCCTAAGTAGCAGTTCAGTCATAAAGTTGACCTATACTTCTATTCATGAATGTTTCAGTTTTTGGTATTTTCCTTTCCATTGCCAGCTTAGAGATATTGGCATGGTATTTTACTGGTATTGATGTCCAGAAGAAAGTAAAAACCAGCTCTTCTATTTTGTAGGGGTAATGTTTTAAAGGAAAAAACACCTTAACTAGAATCGAACAGTAAGATCACTTTGTAACTATTGAATTACTTTTCTCAAAAAGCTCTTGGCTCTGTGTATTTGTTAGTTTTTTTTTCAGGTCGTTGAATAAAGTTTAAAGCAAGAGTGTCCTGTGGGGCAGAAATGAATGTTAACTGGTGAATCTTAGGCAACAGATGTTTTGATGTAAATTATTTTAAAAGGCTTTTATTAGGTGAAAATATAAATGAATATGAGTCAGGTAATTACTATGATGATTCAGTTAAAGCAGTGGATGACCAAAATGCCATTTCACCAGGAACTAAATTAAACATTTGGGTATTTCATTAGCTACGTTGGCAAACATTTTACTTCTTTTTAAATGAGAGACTTAGATTACAATGGCAAGACTACAGCAGCATAATACATGAACTCATACATTTTCATATGTTGAGTATGCTTCATGTGGTGACGAACTACAGAATCATGGTTCTACATTGACTTTAGAAAATATAATTCGTATATGTGGTTTGGATGACTGTCATAGTTAACTTCTTTCTGGCCAAATAAAGACAAGATATGGGAGGTTGAGGTGGGAGGATTATTTACTTGGAGCCAGGAGTTTGAGAGCAACCTGGGCAACATAGCAAGATCCCCTCTCTCTACAAAAAATGTTTAAAAGTTGGCTGGGTATGGTGGCTTGAATCTGTAGTCCTAGCTACTAAGGAGGTTGAGATGGGAGGATTGCTTGAGCCCGGGAATTTGAAGCTGCAGTGAGCTATGATTGTACCACCGTACTACAGCCTGGGTGACAAAGTGAGACCCTGTCGAGAGAGAGAAAGAGAAAGAGAGAGAGAGAAGGGGAGAGGGAAAGAGGGAAGGAGGGAGGGAGGGAGGGAGGGAGAGAGAGAGAGAGAGAGAAGATAATGTATAAATGAGAAGGGGGAAAGAGAAAAGTTTGTTCTAATGAATGGCATTTCTGCCTTCCCTTATACTTTTTCTTGGTGTCTGTCCTTGTAATTTGTAATGGACATGAAATGCAAAGTTAGGCAGTATTGAGCCTCCTGAAAAGGCTCACCGTCATCTTTCCGGAACTGCCTTTCTCATTTAAGCAGAAAATGTGTGCATTGTTTTCTTCAGAGTATTTAAAATCTGTAAAGTGAGCTAGAAATCACAAACTTTCTCTTTTATTTTATTTTATTTTTTTTGAGACAGATCTTCTGTGACCCAGGTTGAAATGCAATGACGTGATCACAGCTCACTGCAGCCTCAGACTCCTGGGCTCAGGCAGTCCTATCTCAGCCTCTTGAGTAGCTGGGACTATAGGTGCACGCTACCATGCCCAGCTCACAAACTTCTTTTAAGGCTGAAAAAAAAAAACAACCTCCAAGTGTTTTGAAAAGTGAACAATAGCTGTCCTTTATAAGCCAATTTATGATTTGGGAAACACTCCACATTTGCTTCGAAGCCTCATTTTGAGGTAGGTGGTGTTAGCACCCTTCCTTTCCATCTGAGGAAACGGAGGCTCAAAGAGATTTGGCAACTTTATCAGGCCACAGAACTAATAAGGGCTTGGATACCAGTCTGAATCTGTGTGTGTGTGTGTGTGTGTGTGTGTGTGTGTGTGTTCGTAATAGCTTTGTTGAAATATTTACATACCATAAAAATACATTTTTAAAGTGTACCATTAAGTGCGTATAGTATGGTCACAGAATTGTGCAGTTGTTACCGCTCTCTGATTTTAGAACCTTTTCATTGCTCCAGAAGAACACCGGTGCCTGCTAGCAGTCACTCCATGTTCTCCCATTGCCCTCACCCCTGGCAACCATTAATCTACTTTCTGTCTTTATAGATTCTGGACATTTTATGTCAATGGAATTATAGAATATGTGGTCTTTTGTTCCTGGCTTCTTTCACTTAGCATATGTTTTAAGGTTCATCCATGTTATAGCCTGTGTCAGCATGCCATTCCTTTTTATGGCCAAATTATATTCCATTGTGGGGGAGATACCACACTGTTTAAATCTGTTTAAACAGAGCCTGTTGCCCAGGCTCCCAGGCTGTTGATAGGTTATTTGGGTTATTTCCGCTTTTTGACACCTATCAGTAATGCTACTATGGGCACTCACATGCACGTTTTTGTGTAGACCTATGTTTTTATTTCTCTTAAGCAGATACCTCAGAGCGGAATTGCTAGGTCATAAGGTAACTCAGGGCTTTACATTTTGAGGAAGCAGTCTGAACTTTTTGAAACCTAACTATCAAGTCCTTTTTAAAATTATACCTTTCTGATAAAAGCATAAGTAATTAAGGAAATGGATGAAGGAGAAAGAAGTGGGGGCAAGTAACAAAATGTTGCTCATGCTTTTCTGTGAGTCCTTTGGATCCTTGGATCAATCACAGCTCATCAAAATGAGTCACTGCACAACCGCACTTGGTTGCCATAGGTTATAAGAATCTCAGTGGCTGAACGAACCTGACAGGTCATCTCATCTCATGGTTTACTTTCTTAAGCCTTTGAGCTATTTCGTCAAAGTAAAGGTTACCCAGGAACCCAATGGTAAAGCGGACAGATACAGAGCTGCCCTAACTGAAAAGGACGGGGAGAGGGCGGTGCTTTGGCCCACCTCTCTTTCCCCCACCCCTCTAGCTTGAAATCTCTGCTCTGTCGGGGAAGCTGGAAAGGCTCTTCAAAGCTGAAATGGCTGTTTAACCTGTGCATGAGCATTTTCAAGAGACTAGAAAGTAACTACCTCTCCAGGCAATCCATTTTTTTCTCCAGATGGTTCAGAATGTCACTTCCTACAAGCAGTGAAAATTCAGCTGACGTTCTGTCCCTTGGGTCCATAGAGAATAGGTTTAATATCTTGTCCCTATACTAGATTGTCACATGTTTGAAGACAGTCATTATAGTTCTTTCTCACATCTTCTAACTCTTAAGATGTAATTTTAGACCCTTAATCATCTTAGTTGCCTCATCTGCACCTGTTTCCTTTTGTCTCTCTTCCTTTCTTAATTTGATACAACGGAATGTGATATTCCAGGCATTCTACACAGAGAAGAATGGAATAGGATACATTACCTCCCTTATTCCAAAGTCTACCCTTCTTTTTTCCCTTTTTTTTTTGAGATGGAATCTCGCTCTGTTGCCCAGGCTCCCAGGCTGGAGTGCAGCAGTGT